CTTTTTGTGGCGCGCGATCAGACCGTTGTGGTTAGACCATGCCCGTTATTATTATTATGATGATTATTTTGGGTATGAAAATACTGCAAAAAGAACCTTAAAACGAAATTTTTGTGAAATTTGGTAATATTATTAATATTAGCGTATCAGACTGCTGATAGCTAGAGTCTGATAGACTCGGTCCCTGTCTGAATTTTTTGACACCACGATTCGCCAGTTTTTCAGTATGTTATTTTCATATGTCATTTTTATGCTTTACTCTATTTTCATCCCCTAAATATTGTCATAAAGATTTGAAATTTGTCACTTAATGAAAGCTGTATTTATAATTATTTACTGGGTCAGATTGCTTACAAGTACTTGTTGTTGTTGTTGTTGTTGACTTTAGCTTCTATACCTGGAAAATTATGAACAATAAATGGCCATTACTATAAGTCTATATCTGTGGCCATAGATAGCTTCAGGTGATGCATTTATTTTGTATGCATAATTATATTTTCTTTCCAGGAATTACATGCTCATCTGAATGGGTCCATCAGTGAAGCCACTCTATCCAAGTTGATAGAAAGGAAACTGAAGGAGTTTCCAGATGGGGTTGAATTGGCTGTGGCTCAGAGAACAATAAACAAAGGACAAAGGAGAACTTTAGATGAGTATGTTCAGGGGTTTATCTTATTGTTGGTTCTGAATGAGTGAAGTTTTAGCATTTTCACCTTTATTACTTATAACATTTAGTAGAGTTGAAATTGCATGCATGCTGTAGACTGAGAACTTGTGTAAAATAACAAACTCAGTTCAAAAGAAGCAGCCAGGTTCCAGGCAGATATATACTGTCTATACTGTGGAATGCCCCCCATTTTTTATTATATTCATCATCTGCTCCACAAAAGATAAAACAGAAAGAAAAGCTTATGTTGTTATGTTTTTATGTAAGATTTGATGGTTTAGAAAAGAAAGTTCACTGTCATGTTAACAGGTTTTCACCATATCATTTTAGGTGTTTTGCAATGTTTAGGATCATTCACCCACTTACAGATACAGCAGAGACAATATATATGGTATGAGTAGTTCATATTTTCACAAATAATACTTTCAACTTTCAATGTATATAAGGTCTATTATGATTTTGAAAGAAATGTTTTATCTGTTCTGTACCTTAGTTTTGAGGGATCTCAATAAATTACTGATTTCAGCCCTTTGCACTTTAGAACTAATGCCACATGTGTTCATTTTACCTGCAACTGAATCTTCAGTTTATTTCTTAGGTGACCTGTGATGTTATAAGGGACTTTGCAGAGGATAATGTCAAATACTTAGAACTGCGTAGCACTCCTAGACATGTGCCCGCCACAGGAATGACCAAAGAAACATATGTCAGAGCAATACTTAAAGCTATAGAAGACTGCAAAGAATCTATGGATATTATTGTCAAATTTATGCTGGCAATAGACATGAGGAATACCCTGGAAGGGGCTGACGAAACAGTGGAATTAGCCAATAAGCTCAAAGATTGTTCTAATGGTGTTGTGGTTGGAGTAGATTTTAGTGGTGATCCCAAGGTAATTTGATGCAATTTTGTATAATATACAAAATTGTTTGGTGTTGTTATGTACAGACACAGATGTGTCTGTACATATAGCCNTGATCAGACCGTTGTGCTTAACCATGCATGCCCGTTATTATTATTATGATGATTATTTTGGGTATGAAAATACTGCAAAAAGAACCTTAAAACGGAATTTTTGTGAAATTTTGTAATATTATTAATATAAACGTATCAGAGTGCTGATAGCTAGAGTCTGATAGACGCGGTCCCTGTCTGAATTTTTTGACACCACGATTCGCCAGTTTTTCAGTATGTTATTTTCATATGTCATTTTTATGCTTTACTCTATTTTCATCCCCTAAATATTGTCATGAAGTTTTGAACTTTGTCACTTAATGAAAGCTGTATTTAAAATTATTTACTGGGTCAGTTTGCTTACAAGTACTTGTTGTTGTTGTTGTTGACTTTAGCTTCTATACTTGATAATGGAAAATTATGAACAATGAATGGCCATTACTACAAGCCTATATCTGTGGCCATAGATAGCTTCAGGTGATGCATTTATTTTGTATACATAATTATATTTTCTTTCCAGGAATTACATGCTCATCTGAATGGGTCCATCAGTGAAGCCACTCTATCCAAGCTGATAGAAAGGAAACTGAAGGACTTTCCAGATGGGGTGGAATTGGCTGTGGCTCAGAGAACAATAAACAAAGGACAAAGGAGAACTTTAGATGAGTATGTTCAGGAGTTTATCTTATTTTTGGTCCTGAATGAGTGAAGTTAAAGCTTTTTTACCTTTATTACTGTACTTATTACATTTAGTAGAGTTGAAATTGTATGCATGCTCTAGACTGAGAACTTGTGTAAAATAACAAGCTCAGTTCAAAAGAAGCAGCCAGGTTCCAGGCAGATATATACTGTCTATACTGTGGAATCCCCCCTATTTTTTTTATCATATTCATCTTCTGTTACACAAAAGATGAAACAGTAAGAAAAGCTCATGTTGCTATGTTTTTATGGAAGATTTGATGGTTTGTAAAAGAGAGTTAACAATTGTGTCATGTTAACAGGTTTCTTCATATCATTTTAGGTGTTTTGCAATGTTTAGGATCATTCACCCACTTACAGATACAGCAGAGACAATATATATGGTATGAGTAGTTCATATTTTCACAAATAATACTTTCAACTTTGTCTTTTAATGTATATAAGGTCGATTATTATTTTGAAAGAAATGTTTTATCTGTACTGTACCTTAGATTTTGAGGGATCTCAATAAATTACCGATTTCAGCCCTTTGCGCTTTAGAACTAATGCCACATGTGTTCATTTTGCCGATTACCTGCAACTGAATCTTCGGTTTATTACCTAGGTGACCTGTGATGTTATAAGGGACTTTGCAGAAGATAATGTCAAATACTTAGAACTGCGTAGCACTCCTAGACATGTGCCCGCCACAGGAATGACCAAAGAAACATATGTCAGAGCAATACTTAAAGCTATAGAAGACTGCAAAGAATCTATGGATATTATTGTCAAATTTATGCTGGCAATAGACATGAGGAATACCCTTGAAGGAGCTGACGAAACAGTGGAATTAGCCAATAAGCTCAAAGATTGTTCTAATGGTGTTGTGGTTGGAGTAGATTTTAGTGGTGATCCCAAGGTAATTTGATGCAATTTTGTATAATATACAAAATTGTTTGGTGTTGTTTTGTTATTTCAATCACAGAAAATATTATTTTCTGTGATTACAATAACAAAACAAGCCAATTTCTTTATAATCCTATTTCAATACATATTTTACATATATTGAACGCCCATTAGAAAATAATTTGAATGAAATACAGCAAAATGAAAACCCAGGTCAATGACCATTTCATTCATTTAAAATGCTGCATCTGCCTTGATGAAAATGTATTTTCTATCATGCCCCCCCCCTTGCTTGATTCCAACTAATGGAATATAAGCTTTAGGATGCTAAGCCTTACATAAGTTATCAGGCATAAAACTGTGTTTACTTTGAAACAAAAAAGCATCCACATATGTCTTTAAGTATACTTTATTTTTGATAATATGCAGGAAATCTTGGAATATGAAGCTTGACAGTGACATAAATTGTCTTCATAGTATTTCATTATTTCTAGGCTGGTGATGCACGGTCTTTTATACCAGTTTTTCAGAAAGCTCAAAGTTATGGCCTGAAATTGGCACTTCATTTGGCAGAGGTAAAAACTTTAAAGTAACAGATCAATCTGACTGTTATGATTTTGTCAATGATAATGTTGTCCTTCAGTTAGTTTTGATATGCTTTTATCTGTCCATGCTGGATTGCTTTCATTTATTAAAATAAGTTTGTTTTTGTTATGAACATTGTCTCATACTGATTAATTAAATTTTTTCTAAGATGTGTTATAAATAATCAACTTCATTTAAGTAGTGCAATAAAGCACAAATTGATCAGTCCATATTGCAAAAGGTTTCATTTACTGAAGCTTTCCTCCAAGATCATTTTGACTTGTCATGCAGTAGACAAATACTAGCATGCATGTCTTTGTATGTATGAGTGCAATATTGTGTGAACATAAAATATGTGTTTGTTGTTTTTAGGTGCCTGAGAGAAATGAAGAAACTCTTGAAGTATTAAAGCTTATTCCAGGCCGTGTTGGTCATGGTACATTTCTCCTGCCAGAAGATGGAGGAAACCAGGAGTTGGTGGATGTCATGGTGCAGAACAAAATTCCCCTAGGTAACTAAAGCTAGCTAGTATTAGAGCAGGACAGTAGACTAACAGATCCATGGACCAAATATGGCTGACCCACTGGAATGCTTGTTGCATAATCCCTGCGGGTAATCTATTCAGTGTCTAAGCAGGAATTAAGGGGCAAGCATTTTAGTGGGTCACCATTTTTGATCTGTGGATTTGTTAGTCTGCTGTTCTGAATGTGTTTTTACTCTAAATTGTGGTTGTTGAACATAGGGGATGTCACACCTAGCACATTGTGTTTCAAAAGAATTGATTGTTAATAAATATGGTAAAAAGTGCCTTCATGAGCACAGATGTTAAATCAAAGCAGTCTACAGATTTTGGTCAAGATATGACTTACACTTGAATGATTATTTACTATAGCTGTCACTATCAGTCTTTCAACTTTAAGATGACTGTGGAAATAGACAACAAAAGTGACAATAAGTTCTGATTGTGCCAAAAAATGATTGTGAAAATATTTTAAAGAACATTGAATGACTTTAATTTAAAACTGAAAATGTTTCATCAAAATATTTTTAAATTTTTTTTTTTATTTGGCATCAGCATTATTGTTTTTAATTTTTTTAATTACTGAAGCTTTCCCCTGCACTCTAATTGATGTAATTGTTTTGTTAAATTCTTTGAGACAGTACTATGGGCGGCCTAAAGGGCAAAAAATCATTAAAAGATTAGTTACACGATCAACGAAAATAGTGACAGCATTGGTTTTAATACACCATAGATGAGAAATGTTTGACAATTGAATTGACGATAGTAGATGTTGAATTTATGACAGGATCGTTTAAACTTGAAACTGAATCGATGGGAAGGCAGTGAGTCGATAAAACATAACTGAATCGACGACATGAATTTTTGCCCATTTGGCCGCCCATACAGTACATCGTACTATGAAATTCCATGTAGATGGAAATATACCAAAAAATAGAATTAATTGTACCCTGTATGTCTGTATTTACTTGTAGTTGTAAAGTCATGCTTGTTATTGCCCCAAGAATTCAGCCCTGGTCTTTATTAGACGTTAGTAAGCCAGTAGTCTGCGCAGTGGGGACAGTTTAGTCAGCAGAGAGACATAGAAACTGCTACTACACTATATTGCAGACTTTTGTTTGTTCAATAAACCTGAAGCATAATTCCAATGTATGCACACATGTTTTGCCTTATATTTGCACACAGCTTTAAAGGAAGTTATTCCTTGAAAAAATTAACCCCAAGTTTTAAAGTTTATGAAGTCTCACTAGTTGATACATTTTGTCATAGAAACACATTGTAGATAGGGTGGTACAAATGTTGAAAAGGGATTGGATTTGGAGTTTCAGTGTTTAGGTTAAGTCCTCTTCCCTTTATTTAGTAAGTCCACATGGCTACTGTTGGTTTTTGTATTTGTTTGGTTTCCAGGATTGATTTTGGTCGGGAGAAATGTATGATAAGATACTTGGATTGTTTTTACAATTTCTATCAGCCTTTCATTATAAGTGAATTTTAAGTTTTTTGGGCACTGTGTGTGTGTGTGTTTTTTTTTTTTTTGGAAAGATCATCAGCTTTGTCTCTTAAGTGTTAACCTCCAATTTCCATAGTTTGCAGCTTGTAAGCAGAGAATACATTTAACAGATGTTGAAGTTCGTCATTTGTTTTTGCTTAGAGCACATTTCATCTATATCTGCATTATTTTTAGCAAAACATCAAAATCCTTCTTTAAATTTTCAGACAGGTTTTAAGCCAGTGATGTCATGATTTTTCATAAATTCTTCAAGGCTAGTAAGGAAAAAAACAATGTTGACACTAAAAGATATGAGCTGCCTCAAGTACTTTGCAGCCATTATACTTATTTATAATAATTCTTTAAAATTTCAATTTATTCCATTTGATACAGTTTTTTCTTTTTTTCTATTTTTTTTTGGCAAAGTCAGGCTCTCCAGGATCATAAAGCAGTATAAAGTCAACATGCTATCCTGCAGACATGCATGATGTATAACCATGTCTGGTTTTCATTTTTTTAAAACTGTTTGTTTTCAGCAAGAAGTTTGTGCAGANCCTACAACAATTTCCTATAGGATCCTATTTTCGTAAGGGTAAGCAGGAATTAAGGGGCAAGCATTTAAGTGGGTCACCATTTTTGATCTGTGGATCTGTTAGTCTGCTGTTCTGAATGTGTTTTTACTCTAAATTGTGGTTGTTGAACATAGGGGATGTCACACCTAGCACACTGTGTTTCAAAAGAATTGATTGTTAATAAATATGGTAAAAAGTGCCTGTATGAGCACAGATGTTAAATCAAAGCAGTGTAGAGATTTTGGTCAAGATATGACTTACACTTGAATGATTATTTACTATAGCTGTCACTATCAGTCTTTCAACTTTAAGATAACTGTGGAAATAGACAACAAAAGTGACAATAAGTTCTGATTGTGCCAAAAAATGATTGTGACAATATTTAAAGAACATTGAATGACTTTAATTTAAAACTGAAAATGTTTCATCAAAATATTTTTATATTTTTTTTTGGCATCAGCATTATTGTTTCTAATTTTTTTAATTACTGAAGCTTTCCCCTGCACTCTAATTGATGTAATTGTTTTGTTTATTCTTTGAGACAGTACATCGTACTATGAAATTCCATGTAGATGGAAATATACCAAAAAATAGAATTAATTGTACCTTGTATGTCTGTATTTACTTGTAGTTGTAAAGTCATGCTTGTTATTGCCCCAAGAATGCAGCCCTGGTCTCTATTAGACGTTATTAAGCCAGTAGTCTTGTTTGGTTTCCAGGATTGATTCTGGTTGGGAGAAATGTATGATAAGATACTTGGATTGTTTTTACAATTTCTATCAGCCTTTCATTATAAGTGAATTTTAATTTTTTTGGGCACTGTGTGTGTGTTTTTTTTTTTTTTGGAAAGATCATCAGCTTTGTCTCTTAAGTGTTAACCTCCAATTTCCATAGTTTGCAGCTTGTAAGCAGAGAATACATTTAACAGATGTTGAAGTTCGTCATTTGTTTTTGCTTAGAGCACATTTCATCTATATCTGCATTATTTTTAGCAAAGCATCAAAATCCTTCTTTAAATTTTCAGACAGGTTTTAAGCCAGTGATGTCATGATTTTTCATAAATTCTTCAAGGCTAGTAAGGAAAAAAACAATGTTGACACTAAAAGATATGAGCTGCCTCAAGTACTTTGCAGCCATTATACTTATTTATAATAATTCTTTAAAATTTCAATTTATTCCATTTGATACAGTTTTTTCTTTTTTTCTATTTTTTTATTTGGCAAAGTCAGGCTCTCCAGGATCATAAAGCAGTATAAAGTTAACATGCTATCCTGCAGACATGTATGATGTATAACCATGTCTGGTTTTCATATTTTAAAACTGCTTGTTTTCAGCAAGAAGTTTGTGCAGATTAGTTCATATTAGAGAGGTTAAATATTTTCTTAGACAGCTGAGTGAAGTTATGGGGGTGTAATTACTGGGGTTAACCTGACCGCCTTTTGTTAGTTGTTCCATCTACCAATTTGTGACAGAGTTGTCATGAACTAGGAGTAGTGTTGGTGATTACATTGATTCTCAGTTGAATGGGTGGAGATGGGGGTCATTTAAGTTTTTTTTGTCTGGGAATGAATATTTTCAATATAATAAATGTATCACTGAAAGGAGGTTTGAATGAAGGAAGTCAGTCAAAACTCTCTATCACAGTGTCTTCTGTGTACATTTTCAAAATGATTTGTATTGCAAATGATGATATACACTATTTATATGTGACCTTATGCCTTTTAAGTTACTAATATATGACAAACAGCAGCTACATGCTTTTAACAAGCATGAAAATTTTCCACCTTTTTTAGAAAGGTCACTCTTGAGATTTATGCAGTTCTGATATGAAAATAAAAAGGTTGGGGGTTGGGGTATTGTGTAGAATTTCTGAATTTCATCCTTTGTCTTTCTTCTGAACTGCAAATCTGTTTTCTATTTGAAAAATGATGCAAAAAATATATTGGATGAAATTAAATGTTTCAGTAAAATACAGTCATATTGTATGGTTTCAGAGTTGTGTCTTACTTCCAACATCAAAGGCCAGACAGTGGCAGCGTATGACAATCATCACTTCAAGAAATGGTATGACATTGGTCATCCTATCTCTGTTTGTGTAAGTATTAGGAATTTTCTTATATATATGTTTTTTCAGTCATGAACATCAACAAATTTCTTATGACAGAAAAACTTAAGACTGAGAATTGGTTAAATTCTAGTCTAGTTAAATTCTATTCTAGTGATGACAAGAAGACAGGAGTGGCCTGCTTTGTGGTGTGGAAATATAATGTACTAGTTGAGTGATGGCACATTGCTTTCATCTATATCAGATTATATCTGATTAAACCCAATCCAGGCCCACTCAAATGAACAAATTTGCAAAATTTTCTGACCTTGCTTGACAAAATTCACAAACAGAACTGGTAAACTTAATGCAGGATCATTTTAGTCTAAGAATCAAAGTGGACAAAGTAACCTGTAACTGAACAGATTTGTAATGTCTTCTGACCTGGTTTGACAAAGAGGGATCAAAATTAACAAACAGTACTGCTATCATTTTTACCATCCTTTCTTTTTTGTCATTTCAGACTGACGACAAGGGGGTGTTCAGCACCACACTGTCAGAGGAGTATAGCATACTAGCACAGACATTTGAGTTAAGTCAAGAAAAACTCTGGGACATTTCCTACAAATCTATAGACCTCATCTTTGCAGATGAGAAAACTAAAGCTTATCTAAGAGGTGTCTGGGAAAAGGAGAGAGAAAATGTTTTCAAGCTTTCATGAATGTGGGATTCATTTGAATTGCAAAGAATCAAAATAGTGTCATTCACACTTATCTTTATGAATGCTTACTTAATAGAATTGGGAATGCATTTCAGGTATGATAACTACATGTAAACATAAGAATCTGCTGGTACAGTAGTGTACAATATGAGGAGTTATATGTCATTGTTACCAGTCACTAGAGCTGACAAATAGCCCCCGTCAGTGTTACGTACATGTATGTCAACCACGGCTGGTACAGGTATGTCACCTCCAGGCCTCCGGTCAATCCATACGTATACAATATCTATCAAAACACGGACTAAAGAAGGGTGGAGGTGGGGCGGGGAGGGGCTGCTTCACTCTAGTAGTAGCAAGGATCACACTTTTCTGAAATCCACCGTGTTGTTTGTTCTTCACTGTTGCGAACTTGGACCTAACAATTCTAAACGGAACTGGTAAAATTAGCGGGGGAAATGCTTTAGAAATTTGCAGAAAAACTCGCTGCCTTCTACCTACATGTTGGGTAAGATGTCTGCGTCTGTATGTACAGTGGGCATTGTGTGTTATATAGCCGTGGGTTGGTCCTAAAGGGAAACTAACTTGAAGTCGGATATTATTTTCCTATCGTTATTTATGGACGGAAAATGTAAATAATAACATTTGCTTAGTTAAGGCGTCGTTCGTAATATATTTGAAATGATACAGACCCAGTGTTGTGGAAACAGTGGAAAACAATGAAATGGCTACATTTTTGAAATTGTTATCAAGCTTGGTCCTACATTTCGTTTATTGTTTTGCATTTTCGGTATCCTGTGCATAAACTTGCGCTGATATTTTTAAATGGAAATGGACAACTTGATAAAATGAATGTTAAATTCTTCGGAATTTTAAATTTTTGGTCATAAGTTGCATTGAGAATACTATTTCATGCACTGTTGCTACTACCACACTACTACTATTATTACTGTACTACTGGCAATAAAGGAGAAATGCATTAAATTCGACTGATTGTATTACTCTATTTTTAATGGCTAAACGACGAAGCCCACTATTGCGAAAAAGTCAAGGGAAAAGTGTTAGGCCTACTGATCACAACCACAGCGTCAAACGGGCAGGTCTGGCATCTTTTTATTACTTGAATCTTGTGTGGGTCCATAAAGGGAGTAACTTAATTACCTTTCTTTCAAGAGGAAATAAAAGTAAAGCAATCACCTACCGCCAAGAACTTCCAGGCAGATGTCAGATGTATTTCGGTATCAGTATGCACAGTTTACAGGTGTGAACTGTATCTTTGTGTACTGACAGTTGCCAAAGTTCTTCCTAATCATCGAACGGCAAACACTATAAGATCGTAGCGTCGGTATTGTTTAACTCATTTGTGCGTAGTGTCATTAATTATACTGTCATTTACTAAACGCAATTACAAAACGCAACAATTATCGTGCACTAGTACAACGCAGCATATAACCGAATATCTGAACTGTTTCAAGCTTCGATGGAAAATCTTAAGATCGGCACGCTACTTTTCTGCCCACACAGGAACACGAGCGTGTGCACTCCACAAACGCACTGACTTTTACATCAATAACATCCGTCGACATATTTGCGAGAGACTAGAAGATGCATCGATAGCATAGATCTTGTGGAGTTACTCTTCGTTAGACTATTTTATCTGTGTAATATCTCTGACTTCTCTATGTTATTGCTTTATCTAACAAATATCTCGTTCTCGTGAAGTCGCGTGATGTGATGAGGTGAAGATACTACACGCGAATTCTGAAATACAATTATTCTAGAACTACTACTGTAATATCTGAATTGAACCATTTTCGTAGCAGCCATAGCAGCCAAGTTTTTCAATACGTATTGGTCTTTGTATAGGAATTAAAATTACATTACCGACCGGCGGACGAACTCTCTATTTGTCCTTCGTCGTAATAAAACTCATTTGCTTCTTTTTATTTGATTTTGCCTTTTTTTATCATGCATTGTAAAATTCATTTTGACAAAGTTACCGCAGAACATTTCAACCTATGTCTTTTCTTGCATTTCAAGAAGCTAAGATTGATTTCACCCTTTCAGTCACCTTCATTAGTTAAAAAACTTTTTATGTACCAAGTGAGGACGTTTGTTTTTTAGGAAGTATGGCGAGTAGATCTAGAAAGGCTGAAGCTCCACGTGGAGTCGCATCAGTATATTCAGATATATGCTAAACGAGTTATCTCGAGAAGCTGTTATTCATCTTCCATCTCGCTCGGTAAGAAGAGCTCAAGGAATTCAGATGTATTTGTCCAATATAGCAAACGAGATACACACCTCCATGTACCAGTATGTAAGAGGAGAACATTTGATTTTAGAAGTAATTTCTGAGTATCGATTTGGAAGGGATTACGAAAAAGAAAACAAGAAGCCATCTTTAGTCCTTAAAACTACAGGCAGTATTCAGGCGAATTCTATAGGTTCAGTAAATGTGACAATGTGACATCTCAAGATACACGACACCTATGTCACGCCTTCGTCCCCATGGATGTTTTGATTACATTGTATGCGTTGTTTATCGTTAATAGCCCGACAAAAGTGGCTTGTTTATAGTGTTAATCATCTCTTGAACCGCAGTTTAGCTCGATGACATCTGTACCTCCTCGGCGTTGTCGTATGTTTTTTTCGTCCCCTTTAAGTCTAACAATTGTTAATTCAGTATACATGAGCTCACAAAGAAGTCACATTAGCACTACTTTTTCACTTACCAAGTCTATTTGATAGCCTGTTTAATTTGATATGCATCAAAATGAATAACTTTTATTTGGAAAGTATCGCGTTTAGTTTATAATCATAACAGAACCCCCGCACGGACTACTTTTTCTCTCGGCAGCGCACACAAATCGTCTTGCGGTCAACTCAAGAGGGTAGAGTGAAAGGTACCTTTAGGTGTGAAAAGCGTGCTCGCCAGCGAACTTTTCTCCAAGACCACTGACTAACCAGAGGGCGCCTTATCACAGACTGTCCTGCAATGTAATGATACAACAGAGCAGAAGATACCGGATTCTCCCACCTACTGGTTGACGTAGATTTGACTAGCCGAGCCTACTGAGAGTCTGCCTTGGAAATCATGGGGAATTCAACGAAGAGACTTTTCCTGTCTTTAGCCATGCTATTGACAGTGTTTTTTCAAGGTTGGTAAATTGTATTGATATTTACAGGTGATAATTGGCTTGAATTAGGAGAAAGTCGTGCTTTTTTATTCGTCCAACGTGAATAAACCTCTTTCCTGAGGTATGGATGGTAAGAAAAGAACGTTTAATAATATGTAACACATTGAGATGTCCCTATGCATCCAACTAAGTACATATTTAGATAACGCACACGAAGTTTGCATAACCGTTGAAAACGATTTGTATGTCTGTGGTGCTTATTGTGCGCAGAGGAACATTGTTGACCATGAGTGTTTGATTTGTATTTCATTTTCGCTTGTAAAATAGTTATTGAAAAAATTCGATGCATTGATTTCACTTAGTTTCATTAAACATAGAAATTAAAAATAAAAATATGTGCTCTTTGCCGATTCTTAGTTGACAAAGAGAAAAGCAAAAACTGGCTGACTGCTACAGATATATATATATAAAAGTTACAAAACAGAGATCTCCACCTTTCTTTAAAAAGTTATGATACAGCAAACATTCGCTGGGACCGCTTGTTGAAACTGCTTGTGTTTGCCCCCCACGGGTGCGGTAAGAAGTTCGTTTTGTAAAGTTTATGTCAACACTTGCACCAAGGAGTACAAGAGAACACACGGAAACTGTGGAAAGGTTGGGAATTGGCCCAGGTAAATGCCCAGTGGCAAGGTAGACCTTATCCGCTGGGATAACATGCTAGTCATATATTTTCACCTGTAAGAGTTCTGCATATACAGGTGTGGAAACCAAAAAATATTCATTTTGAGAATTTATAGACACCCAACGCATTGGCTATTAATAGGTGATGTCAAAAAGCCCACAATTGCTGGAATGGAAATATTTTCGTATTATGTAAGAAGAACAACTTCACTGGGTATTATGCTCATCGTCTTGTTGCTTTTAAGTAGCACAACTGTAAAACCACTACAAAAGAATACAAAATCGGGGAAATAATTGTGTTTGGTTTATTCCCCAACTTTGAGATTGTAGCATAACATTGGCGCTAAGGTGACGAGAGACAAAACAGGGAAAATTTAATTGTTACAACACAGGCGTATAAATAACGAGTTTTCTTACTCCTATGCTTCTACACAGTTCGCTGGTCGAGGCATGTTTTTCTTGTCTCATTAGATAAACACTCCATTGGGGCCCTTGTGTTTTTTCTCCAACTAACCAATTTAAAGTTTATTACAAGCTCATGAAAGGCCCACATTAAAATAAATATAATGGAATAAATGCGCTCCGTTAAAACCTAATGGGGTGGAATAGATGTATAGAACTCGACAATCGGTCCGCTGAGCCAATCCGTGATTTTCAACCTGATCGACAGCGATTATGGGGATAAGATTTACTTATTGTTAATGTAAACGACGATAGTCCGAATATTTCACAAAACTGAGCCCCCGGAGAAGGAGTAGCAATTCTATAGATCTAAGCCAAAAATAAACAAGACGTTTAAACATCTACGCAATAATATGGTATTGTATGGTGTCTCGAGACTTCTTAATTCTTTCTCTAAAAGGTAACTCTTATCAGCTCAATAACAATGCCAACCAACTGTCACTCGTTCAATGATAGAACTATATGGACCACCACTTGGAAGGAGTTCAGAACAATATTGCACGAGGGAAACCCTGATTATCACGGTCACATGACTGTTGCTTTCAAGGCGCATAAATCACACAGGATACTCCGAATTTCTGTGAACATTTACACTCACGAAGGATCTCTTTACTGATTATATATAGAGACCCGTGTTTGAGTTTTTATTTTTGTAGAAATGTATTGCTTCAAATAAAAAATGAAATTAAAAAAAAGGAAATTCTTGAAATGAAGGTTGTAATTCCGGGATGAAAAATAGTTCTTTTTATTTGCAAATAGTATTTATTCTGGAGAACCATTGCATAGCCACGAACTTATAGACTCCCGCTCGTGCGTGCTAAACGGTAAAATGCATACAGCTACCGTTAACAAAGATTACAAACCATTAAAGGGACCCCTGACAGATACCAGTTTATTTTTCTAAAACACGCATATTTAGAGTGTTTGCGTGTAAAATATCACACTTGATAAGTACCTCTCACCTACAATTCGAAACAGGAGTTAGGTTACCTCAACTACCCATCTCCTTGTCCGTAAATGCTTCCTCGGGTCAGATACTGTGCTTTTTTATTGAAGTCAGCATGTGCACCGGGGTGATGCATAAGTTACCAAGAAATATCTTCTATAACAGCGGTAAGAATATGTAACCTCATCATGACCCTATAGCAGGGGATAGCCACTGCTTTTAGATTTCTTTTAAGTGCAGTGGGTTTGCAACTTGTCTCTGGCGAATTCTTCACAAATGACTAGGTGGAAAGAAGGTAGAAACTCCGCAGGGAGCTCAGGCATATGAGAGAAAGAATATGCTGCTGCACCAATCTATTATTTCCCCACCACAAAATACTCATTTGTTTTCCATGTATTGTTGTAAAATTGTTAAGAAAATATTGACACGCAAAATTGGAAAAAAATTAGAAGAAGAAAAGCAAAGAAGAGGTTCTTAAGCACCATTGAGAGGGTGGGAAAGTAAACACTTTCCACATGAACACCTGTGCTTACCTGAGATAGATAGATATTTCTCTACGTGAAATGAAAAGTTCTGATTATGAGGTAAACGGACCCCGTATTTACTGTACGTAGGGGTATATTGCACAAAGGGTAACTATACTGGACGGATTTATGGTTTTCCTATAAGATTTACAATATTATTTACTAGAATTTATTCATAGAGCATTTATAAATTTAAATATTTGAAACTCTAGGAGGAAATACAGTTGCACGAGGAAATGCTTTCCGTTGTATGCATCACGCCGAGAAAAAATGACCAGGGGTCATCTCTGGCAATTGCTTTGTAAATGAAACCTCCATGCGCTCATTGCTAGAATGGACACATACACCAGTGGTGTAATGAGAGTTGGTTACCGTCTATTTCCAGTCTGTCTGTTCTCTTACTATTAGAGAGAGATGTCATAAGAGACGCGGGAAGGAAGTAGTTTTCGTTAATATTTTTCGAAGTTTTTAGGGTTGCTCGGTTTTGAGATATTATAAAAATACATATTCTGTTTCCCTGCCTTTTTGACCCGAAATGACCAAACACTGCAGGTATTTGTACAGATGCTAATATGTGTGGTCGATTAGCTTCGTCAGCTTCAGGTGGTAAACTAGAAATCGTTAGAATGCTGTAACAACGTCTGCTCGCTGATATAACGTGGAGTTGGCAGCATGAAAAACTCACGCAAATGACTAGGAATCCCTGACCGCCGTGATGGACTAACCAGATCTAGGTCTAGGTTTACACATTAGATTATGCCTTTTAACAAACATCTGTCAATTTGTAGTTTGATGCCCGGGTGTCATAGTGAAAAAAGTTTAAGCTCGAATACTTCGAATACATGCGAACGTAGCTGTCTTCCCTCTCTCTCTCTCTCTCTCTTTCGGGGAGAGGGGGGGCGGGTATGCGTATTTGAATGCCCGAATTATCACCCAGGATTGAATTCTTTTAGAAAATATGCATGTTTTCATTCGAACCCCAGTGCAAATATATAAAACATTTTTATCATATGATTTTACACGTCTAACAGTCTCAGATATAAATTATCACATCTAATTGGTTGTTGTACGTCTGTAAGATACCTCGCTCTTTATTCATTCTAAATATATTCATGATACATGAACTCATATCGTCTGCTTTGCCAAGTGCAACCAAATGCTCCATAAAGAAAATCACTATGGCGGAACCGATATGTTAAGGCCAGCTGTGCATGTCTTAATGTCGCATGTTTCTAGAAGTCTACATATCTGTTATCCTGCAATATGATAAACACCTGCCAGGTGTGCCCTCAGAAAGATATACGTAGAACTCTGCCTTGTTACCAGACATAGCCGCAAAGTTGGTACGCCATGTTGGCAACGTCAGTGGAACATTGCTAATTTTTTTTACATATCGCCAGTTCAGAGAAGAATTTCATCAGCTGTGTTTAGTTATAAGAATGATGTGATTCTTTCTTCAGTCAACAGCTAATATTGAGATAGGTTTTACCTCCAATATTTCGATTGAGAATGAAGAAGATGTCCTGAAGAAGATGTCCTGATAGACATCGAAATATTGGAGGTAAAAACCTATCTCAATATTAGCTGTTGACTGAAGAAAAAATCACATCATTCTTATATCGCCAGTTCATTTTTAAAGATTTTCTAAAATGTTCGTGTGATATTGTATGAAAAGTGGTATTCATAAGAAAACCTACTTTTCATTCAATGATTAAATGCATCATACCTGTGTTATAAGTGTGTTATCAATTGGTTATCTCCACTGAACACAACGCTATGTTATTTTGCAATGCCTTAATTGTATTTATGGAAGCCTACATTTAAATACTTAAAACGTTTACTTCTTAGAATCTCACCAAGGAAAGCATGAGAGGAGACTGCTTGACACGTTGTTTGTGGATCGAGCACACAATGTTCTAGAGCGACCCGTTGCCAATGAAAAAGACGTGCTGAACGTTACGTTCAGTCTTACACTACAGCAGATTCTGGATGTGGTAAGAGGTGTTATGTGTAAACAATTTTTTTTATCAAAGCTGGATTAAAATCCATTTGCATTTTCTGTAACCTAGAGCACGTTTTCAAATTTTCTAATATTTGTCTTGAACTTAGCAATAAATGTCAGACTTCATGTACCAGAAGCCCCCACTGTTCACTGTTGCATTTTATGTATATAGTGGTCATATCGCACGGCGCCCATACGGCACTAACACGTCGATACAAATTAACTCGACCGACTAAACTTTCAATTTCAATTTATAAAGAAATGTTTTCTAGAGTTACATAATCGATGTCAAGCTCACCGCGGATCAGTGCCATCGACGCCTAGCATTGTGTAAGGATATATTAAAGCCATTTTTGAGAATGCGGTGTTCGTATACATTGCAATTATTATATTTTCATTACAAACTCAACCCTGTCCAAGCTATGTTAAAGCAATGAGTTTGGTGGACTATACTTGTATTCACAGCTGTATATTATCCACATAACGTAAGTAAGGAATTGGAAAATGGTCAGCCTACATACTATGTGAATGAGAAGCATAACGGGTGATCTACATCCGTAATTGACAGTTTTAAGCTTTGTTTAAATTAGAGGCCAAACTATTGAAAACAATAGGTCCATTTCTAGTGTGAATGATTTTCATTGACTTTAACCGTTTGGGTTTCATTTGTAGAGTACATAAAGAATATATAAGAAACAATCTAAAAATTTCATGAAAGCTGTTTGCTTACTGTGGTTAAAATTACGTGCTCTATGTACCAGGTTTACAAAAGAACGTATGCGGTAGGCTGGTCTTAACTTTATTACCGAGGATTCTAGTCGCATTTGACCCAGGACAGTGAAGTTGCAGTTAGTGCACTTGAAATAGAATTTTTGGACTATTTTGCAAAAAGTGAAAAAAAGCCTATTGTCTAAGTCAGAAGCTTGGTTTATTCTGTTAGATTACCACAGATTTATCCTAAAATAAAGTGCACCGAAATTTCGGATTGAATGCTTCACATGAAGTTTGGACCTGTGTTCTTTGGTGAAGCTCTGCCTGTATTGTACATATTACCACACGCACCGATACCTGGAAGGTGTTTTTACGCGGCTACTTAGTGCTCGTACGTGTAGATCTACATTCCAACTTAACCTTTTATAATTATCTTCACTAAGATTATCTAATCATCCCTTGCGGCCATTTAAAAAAAAGTAGTCATAAAAAGTGTTTTTCAAATTCACTCGTGCTAAACCGCATGCTAATTCTGTGTATGTTTGCATTGCGGAGCATAGGAAAATATCTTTCCATAAGATAAATATACTTCCTTTTGGTATCATCGTAACAAGTGTTTTTTAGTGAGCGCTAAGCTGTTTTAACAGGTTATTTCAGCCCTGGATCACTGTGGTATAAATACTTTTGTATTGGTTGTCGGTACACAAGGGTCGTAGGTTCATGTTCTTATAAACTGCCGCTGTACCATAAATAACCGAAAAATAACAATTCTTTTGATTTAAATTTTAAAGATAATAGCATGTTGTAAAATATTAATTGTAACAGTAAGGTCAAGGGTTTCCTTAAGTAACCAGCACTTTCTATGAAAGCATTCAGCCGATAGCGGGTCATTTGGTGTTCTGTGTTCTTTCTTCAGGATGAAAAGAATCAGATTATCCACACCAACATTTGGCTGGACATGGTGAGTAAAAATGCACGAGAGTAAGAGCCATCAAGGTCTTCTCATTGATTTTAATATTCTTTGCACAAAACCAGATATATTGGGATTTGTTTAACTGACTTTAGCTGGTTGTAAAGCAGTTTAAACAAACTACTTCTTGTGAACTTTACGATGATACATTTATATTCATTTCTTTTACCAGACATGGACAGATTACACATTTATTTGGAATGAAGCAGAATTTGGAAATATTTCTGCAATTCGAATACCCGCTGGCAAGTTATGGAAACCCGATGTTCTTCTGTACAACAGGTAGGCCGACTTGTCTAGAGACAAAATTAAATAACGGTACCCATTAGAAAGTTCTTGTTCGACAACGTTCAGTACCTTGGTGCCGGGGTATAAGATATACTTACATGTCCGATAAGCAAACTAAATTTTATAAGTTTTATGCACCTTATCTAGCAAATGTACGAACCTTTGTATTTCAAGAAGACTTATCAATTTTATTTTCCTTTGCTCCCAGTGCCAGCGAAGCCTTTGACGGAACCTACCACACGAACGTTGTGATCTACAGTAGTGGGTACATGAACTGGATCCCGCCCGGCATGTTCGGCAGCTCCTGCCACATTGACATTACGTGGTTCCCGTTTGACATGCAGTTCTGTAAACTGAAGTTTGGCACATGGTCCTATGATGGCTCTCAGGTGGACCTGGTTTTAAAGTCCGAAAAGGGCGATATATCGTCCTTCATCAAGAACGGCGAGTGGGATTTGTTAGGTAATCAGATTGAAATGGATGAACTTGTAAACAGCAGTTTACTTTTAAACGAGAACACAGTTGCCGTCATAAAATTGTCGTACAATGTTAATTTTGTTTGTTTTTCTTTTTTTTTTATATATAAATCATCATTATTTTTCCCTTATAAAAGTCAGAAAAATAATGCACACGCATACATCTTCATGCTACTGTACAAAAAGTTTTATTGCTTTACGTGGGCCATCTAATATTTTTAGCGAACCTAGGATTAGGTTTAAGAGTCAACTTGTATATCAAATATATATTGATTGCGTTGACCGACCTACTGTAATAGCTTATTTACATGTTTCTTTTAGCAGCATGGATATCAGCACCTAAAATATAGAGACCCCAGCTTTCGATAGATGCACCGTACACCCAGGAATCATTTCTGTCTGTCATCATTGTTCTTACACCAAACTTCATATTTTGTCCTTTTGGTACTTGAAGGAATGATATTTCATTCTTTCAGGTGTCACCGCCAAGCGTAATGAGATCTACTACGACTGCTGTCCAGACACCCCGTACGTGGATGTCACCTACACCATCAACATTAAGAGACGGACATTGTACTATGGCTTTAACCTCATCATTCCCTGTGTGCTGCTGTCGCTGCTCGCCATCCTGACGTTCATGTTGCCACCGGATGCAGGAGAGAAAGTATCACTTGGTGCGTAAGGAGAAAGATTTAGTTCGAATAAGTACATTTATAAAATAATGTTTTATCTTAGAAGATATATTTCTAATCACTTTCTGTGACAATTCGTTAAATGAGAGTGACAATCCATCAAAATATGAACACTCGAGTCAAACGCATATTTACTGAAGAGTTAAAAAATCATATACATTTTTGTAGAATGTAGAAAGGTAGACGTTTGATTTTCTCAGACTTTTAAGTTATTCAATTTTTTGTTTTACTCTATATGGTTTTATTTTTTAATTTCAATTCCTTTGATAATAACTTAACCAAATATAATGCTCTTTATGTAATCTTTTCAAATGTTTAGTAGCTCTTTGCTGATATGTGAATCAATGTGCATTATTATATTCTTATTATGCATAACACGCATGAATGTATATGGGCTTCTGTTATGTAAATTTGAATTCTAGTTTGCATTTAAACGGCAAAAGGATCTATAATTGCATGTATATTTGCTGAATTAATATCAAATATCGATGCCGATTTCTTGCGTAGCCATGTATTTGTGGTCACGAACGAACCAACAGGTGATTCCTATACTCTCTGTTTTTTTATCAATGGTTACAATTTCCAGTTAAGAAACTTGCATGTGTTGAAATTTTCAGCTGTGACTATAATGCTGTCACTGACCGTGTTTTTGATGATCGTGGCGGACGTCTTACCACCGACGTCCGATGCGGTGCCTTTGATAGGTAGGGGGCAATTTGCTGTGACCTTGAGAGACCGTGTGTCGCACCACTGGACGCACGCGTTGGTTCATTGGCCGAGTTTGACGTAGTGTGTGGGTTGCAGTGCTTGTTACATTCTGCTTGCTTTGGTTTCAAATTGATTTCAAAATATAGTGGAAACCATCTGGTATTAGTCGTGCAATTATTCACACAGCGTGACTGCACCAAATAATCCCCAGATATAACCTACCGTTTTATATACTCATTTTCACCAATTTTCCATTCCTATGAAACATTTTCATGGCAGTGCTAAAATATGACACTTACTTTGTTTTACCCTGAAAGGTTGGCGAGAGGATTCTTAGTGGGAACCCCCGAAAGGGTCTGGTGATCCAGTCTCTGTCTCACGAACGTGTTGCAGTACTTGGCTTGCAGCAGTTGAACCAGCTGCAATGCAACTAGACGCTTATCGTCGATTAGTTTGTTTCAGCTCTCAGTATAAAATAGCATGCACTCCGTTTTGTTTATGGTGACGTTATGAACACCCTGCCCAAGGCTAGGAAGCAATAAGCGTAGTGACGTAATGCTGCAGTAGTAGGATTTCATCTTGCTCTTCTTTTTGTTTTTATGTATTCTAACATACTAATATTTCTTCCTATGGAAGAGGTAAGTGTAGACCTCCGACACCAGTGAGTATTTAGCCTGTAGGTGAAATATAACCAACGGCTTGTATATTCTTTTTGTTGCTTTATTTCAGCCGTCACTATTATGCTGTCACTGACAGTATTTTTAATGATCGTAGCAGATGTGTTACCGGAGACGTCTGATGCGGTGCCCCTGATAGGTAGGGTCTACCATATGTAGACGATGCGGCTATTGGCAGTTTCCTGTACGCTGAGTCCCTGTAGCTAATTTAATGGCATCTCTAACAGGCAGCTTCTTGTCCCATTAAAAATCTTTTCGTGCGCTTGGAATGTTATGGTGCTGCATTCCCCCTGCTGCTTACTTCATTGCTCTAACGATGATCTTTTTAAATAACCTGTTTTGTTTTGAATCAAATAAACTTTTTTAAAAAAACTTTTTCTGTAAAAATTGTAACATTCGATTTACTTTAGTCCCTTGGGTAGCACGACATTGCTGTATTTTTTATCTGTTACATTAACTTTAAATAACTTTTCTTTGTTTGATACAAAACTTTTATCCATTGCTTATGTCATCGCTCGTGCATTTTCTTGCAGATTTTGTTATTTAGACGAAATCGCGCAAGTATTTTTCTCTTTTGTCTTTGTTGGTAATCAAAGCACTCATTTTTACTTCTCCGTAGTTATACTGTCCGTACAGTAATGGTTTTATTACCGATTATTCTCGAAAGATATTAAATTTAATGACGATTCCCTCTAACAGATATAGATTGCCAACACTGTTCGGAACTCAACGTTCATGATCGTGTTTATTTGATAACTAAACTATTTACGGCAGTTGAGGGACCCCAATAGTATAATTCTTTATTTGGATGCGAGAGTGGTTCAGACATACAGTAGCTGTTTGAGGTCCATTCACGATCCGTGCTGCATAGTCCCCGCCTACCTTGACCATTTAGTTGAGGACCGGCGATATTACTCTATTACTAATATGCTGTTTTTCTAATTGACATAATGTTTACTATTGTATATAATGATCTGTTCATTACTGTACTTTAATCCATATGCTTACTTATTGATACAGTATCTTTGAATTTCACAGCGTGAATGCTCATTTGTCTATCCTTTTTAACATGCATGCTCCCTCCTGAAGACCAGCGGTAAGGGTTCTTCTGCTTTTGAATGAAACATAATGAATCTATATAAAATATGAAGCGTTTTGAATTAATAGTGATTATTTTAACTTCATTATATTTTGCTCTTGTTTTGCCTTAAGAAGTTTGAATACATTAAGCGGATTGCATGATCATAGATTGATCCTTAAGAAATTATAGCGTTGTGCTAGATAGTTACAAAAGGTTTTGCAGTATTCAATATTTTAGTAAGATTTTGGCACATTGGTTCATTAATCTGTTGGAACTCAAATATTTATCATCAGTTCATGATTGCTTGAACGCTTGTTTTTATGATGCCACGTATATCATGATTTTACCTGTATTTTCCATTTCACTGAGGATTAATATGAAACATTTAAGGAACACTGATGAAAAGACATGAATGAAGCACGAAAACGCTTTTGCATATTAATTTAATCCCAAGTCGAAGTTTCATATTCATGTTGTATTTTTTATTTGCTCTGTGACAGATGGACCATGGCGTTTTCTCTCTTTACTTTCCAGTGATATACTTTGGAATGATACTTGCCCTGTGTTCCATGTCGGTGGTGTTTTCTGTTCTTGTGCTGAGTTATCACCATCGCGCAGACGACACACACGACATGCCAAGCTGGGTGAGGAAAATTCACGTAGTAAACTGATGTTACAAAATATGAAACATGATTACATAAAACTTAATAGGCTCGTGCAGCATTCAAACCTTTGATTTGTAGTGTAGGTATACAAAATGTCAGTCATCAGTTATGACTCTATAGAAAATATTTAGCGAAAAAGTATTCTTTTATTTTATCTCAATATAGTGTTTTTTTTTATAAATGTTATTCAGTAACTGATATATGATACACCTTCAGACCGATTATTATAATTATATGGGTGACTAATTACTTGCTCAATGATGTTCTAGGTGAAATATGGTATATGTGAGTGGTTGGCATGGATCCTTTTCGTGTCACGCCCAGGTAAGGACCTGTCCAGAAAGGCCATCCTTCAGCGTCAGAAGCTGCGCAAGATGGAGGAGAAGCAGCGAAATTCCCCCAGTCTACTCGCTAACGTTGCAGAGGTCGACGACTACCACAGAAATGGTCTTATGGGCGTCAAAGTGGACCGCGACACCCGTTCAAAAGAACACTTCAGCTCCGACAGCCATGCATGCTCCACTCGTAATGAACTCCGCAATATTTACAAAGAACTCAAAGTCATTACAGACAAGATGAAAGACGACGACTCGAGTTCGGTGGTTTCGTCTGATTGGAAGTTTGCGGCCCACGTGATCGACCGTTTGTGTCTCATAACTTTCAGCGCTGCTATAGTAATTTGTACTCTGGTTGTGTTGGCATCCACACCACATGGTATCATGTAACCGTGTTATGTTGCTGAACGTCACTCAAATGGTGACTGGTTGCCAAAGGGAACAGTGGTGCATGTATATATATATATACACTTCCATCGGTTTAAATACGACCAGAATGTACGTGCTGCCCACTGCCGAACGAGGACAAAATTTTGACTCGTAGCATGACGTTTTCAGGTAGCAAAACATGTCTCTGATCTTCGTTCATGTGGACTTCACAGTTTTTGGTGGGTGGCGATAAATTGTGTCGTTTTCTCTTTTATGCACAACGATCTTAATCCAGTGAAACTCAGCAGACGATTGTGTTTGTCTATCAGTCTTGGAACACATCCTTTGATAAAACTGTAAAATAAACCAACCCGACTCCTTTTGTATATACACATTGTATAACCCTGCCATTCCAGTTCAATAACTGCCATTCCCCTTGTGTGGTTGCAAGCTTTCGATGTTGCAAATATTTTCAGCAAAATCAAAATCAAATGAATATCCAGCGATGCCAAAGAATACATGTGCTGATAACAAAGTGAGGGTGGATTTCTTTTTGTGTTTTATTGTGCACGGCTGCTCTGTATTATCTTGACTGTCGTGTATCTCCCTTTTGCAAAGTGAGTTTTAGCAATTTAAGATGGATTTGTCCATATGTCTCTATTGAAATTTTCTAACCTGACTATAATACTCACTCACGGTTGTGCTAATTCTGTAAAGCTAAGTGCACATGTGTATATTAATATATAAATATATGTCTTATGTCTGCACGCGTGGTTAGTGTACTATTATGGAAGCAATCCATGACAATGTTTGACTGAGATTATTAATTAAACGAAAAATGCATTAAATATCTTTCGAGATCACAGTTTTGACTTTCATATAGTCTAATTTGAACCAGTTGCATTAATAAATCAGTTGACCAAATGTGCATTAGTATAGAGGAATCACAATTCATTTCTTATAAAGAATAAAGCGATTTGTAGTGTCTTCTTTTTTTCTTCTTTTTTACTTTTAAGATTTTTTGTCGTGTACCAGAAAGTCCCCCATGACAGAGAGTCCGCTTCCCATTACTTTGTGAGCCTCGCCCTAGATTTTGACCCACTTAATTCAGACTATCCCTAACCATTATAACCATATGGAAGGCGGACTTTCTGTTACACGGCCCCCCAGTTTCGTGACACCAGGCTTACAATCTCTTGGAGAACGGTTCTGGTATTCTCATGCCAATAGTTTTGGGGTTGAACGGTGACTCATCTCGTGCTAAACGTTTAAATTGGTATAGGTTTTATTAATTAATGTTGTTTATTAAGATTAATAGAAAACAAAAAGAAAAATATTCGTGTGTAAATTCTGTCAGCTTTAATTCATTGTCGCACCGCACTCGCTCGTCTGCCATCATTTGTCCAGATCCCGGGAAACCTTACTTGATTCATGTATTACCCAAAATCGCAAGATGTTATACTGTATGTTATCCATTCTCATGGTCTTTCCCAACTGTTCATTCATGAATATAATATTATCCTATTCAAGTTATCTTCACTTGACTTTCACCATTGGAAAGGTTTGATAAAATCAGGGGTTGTTAATGCAATATTTTATTTTATTTTCCCCTTGTGAACTATCTACAGTACTTGTGAATTGAGGGGGACGAGGTTCAGGCTGGCGGTTTACAGTGTACATTATGGAAATCCTAAATGAGGTGTTTTAATGTGTAGACAAGTGTTCATGTAAAGATACATGTATAGGCCTATGTTTGCTCTTGTTATAACTTATTACCTTAACATAATGTTTTTGATAAAAGCTCGGTGACTTATAGGTCCATGAAACCGGGTGGTTTATATTTTAATAAATGTATATTCACATGTCACTTTAATAAATAAACACTATCTATCTATCTATCTATCTATCCATCCATCCATCCATCTATCTATATGTGCGTTTGCAGATTGTATTTAATATATATATTGTATATATATAGTCCTTCGTTTCCCCCCACTCACTTTCTTTTCTTAATTATGTGTTTGTGTTTGTGGAACGTCTAAAATGTAAAGGATTTTACAGGAGGCAAACATCATCATATTTATCCATAGCATTACCAATGGTGCGATTCTGAATTCTGAAAGACTTTGAAAATTTAGACCCTGAAATTTAATGACACGAAAAAAAAAATTCAGTTTATTGTACAATGTTTCCAGTGCAACCAGCCATTTCGTAAACTAGATAAACAAAAATAAAAAGTGCAATGCATCACAAAATAAAAACATCAAGCCCAGTAAGCTGCGTGTAAATGTCACATAGCAGAATATACTCTGGGGTACATTTATCATACTAACGTAATTACAAACACTTGATAAGGGGAATCTAGTGAGGGTATTTTTAATTCTAGCAGGTTGTCTCCAAACATGTGCCACAAGACGTCCTTATCACTGACTAAATCATTTCAACAGCGTCATGATTATGAGTTTCATTGGTATTTAACTGACATTTCAACAATATGTCAAGCGTTAGTGTCCAGACGATAGCTCTCTGCCAGGATCTGAGCCACAGGTCAGACTATGAGTCCAGACCAGACGCTGGCCGTATCCTCAGCTCTCCCACCTGTAGGCCGCCGCGGGGTTCATACGGCCCATGTTTACTATGATCACAAAGAGGTGGCAATCTTACATACGCAGATTTTATTGTATAACCTGTATTCTAAAAACAACAGAAAGGCAGCTGAATAGGCACATTTTGGAGTAGATAAATGTCTGCAAATGAAAAATAAAGTTCAGCTGTTAATAGCGCACTGTTAGCTTGTGCTGGAGCCCGCAGAAGAATTGCACGTTGAATGATATGGATATTTGCTCAAAATTCGAATAATAAGAAGCGCCTATTATTGATCATCGACTATTATATTTTGATTAACGAATTAAACATTCGCTGATTAAGATAAATGCATTGCGCAGCTGTGGACATGAACAGACGCCAAGTTCAATAGCCAGATCATGTAGATTCCAGCGGTATTCTTTTATTGAATAATAACGACTGGCTTTTGTGTTAGTTATAATTGTTCGCTCCTTGTTTCGCTATCATTTTTCCTCCCCCAAGATAATCCGCGCGTGTGTGTGTGTGTTTGTGTGTGTGCGTGTATGCAAATGGTTACACAGACAACCTTATACGATTTTGACGTTATTTTCGTATTGAAAGGAGGACATACACAACATATATCTACACATGTGTTGAGGGAAATTACGCAATATTGGGCAATCTTATTCAACACATGTGAAGGTACAAGAGGATATCTATTAGTAACATTAGGCAGAACAACCTCCTGGAAAACAGATCACGCTTGTGGTAACTCAAAAATCAAAAGAGAAAATCGGTAATTAACACGCCCAGGGAGCTAAGCCTGAAAATTGCAATGCGAGTCCATCCAGTTGTCCTTTAACCCAACAAAGGAAAGGCATGCCCATTACGAAGAGTAGGCGCATTATTTTTTCAAGATCAATAACCAAAGGCGCGCGGCTTAATTAGTTACAACTATCTTGGGTAATTACGCTTTTTCATTCGAAAGACTGGCACCGAGTTGTTCATCAAGCAGGATTGAAAGGAGTACTGCCTTATTGACGGAGATAAAGTGGATTTAATTACTACCAATATCATTTTGGTGACATTTGATACATTCAAAAGAGTGTTGTAAAAGAGCGCCAACATAGGAACGATTTAGAAAACATTACATGGAAACCACATACATTACTTCATTTTGGAACTTTAAATTGCATATGTGTATAAATGAGAGAGAAAGAGAGAGAGAGAGAGAGAGAGAGGTAGAGACAGAGAGAGACTGTATATATACATATTCTGTACTTGAGGTTTTGGGTCAAGTCCCCCTTGAGCAGGTAAGATTGCACTCGTGATTTATTGAAATTACCATTGCAAGCAGAGTTAAACATACATATAGGGCGATCATATGCAGTAAATGTTTGCTCTCTGTATAACTTATATAAGAGATGCACACGATGACTGATAGTCTGAATATTGACTTGGCAACAATTTGACTAATTGCTGGTGTATGTGGGGAAATGTACAAATAATACATCGCACTCGGTTTAGAGAGAGAACAAGAGGGAAAAAGAGCGAGGGAGTGTGCGTAAATTGAACACGAGGGATTGAAGCCCGGTCATGATATACAAACCATCTGTTGAACAACAATAAGTTACGACAGGCAGGGATCAAAGTCGGAATGGAATATGCCACAGGCATCGTTCTGTAAGAAGTACTCCACATCATGACTGATACGGCACCATTTTCTACTAATCAAGCTGTTCTATTTTGACTGTTTTCCCTCAAGCCAAACTGAAACTGAAGAGGAGTCTCAATTCGATTTCCTATACATAAAAGATATACCAAGACTTATTACGCGGGAATCCATTGAAAGGCAGTAAGTAAAAAAAATATCAGTGGTTGGGCCACTTATGCATTCTTTTTAATCTATAGGAGTTTAGGAACATCTATTTTCTCTTGCTGTTATGCATGGTATAAAAAAGACATTTTTATCAAAAGTACCGGATTACTTTCTAATTCAAATGAAGTAATATATAACAAATTTGATATTAAAAATGGTGTGATTTGAATATATCAAAGATTAGTATATACAGAACTGATGACTAGTAACTCTGTATAGTAACAGGTAACATTTCAAATTGCGTTGATCCGTACGTGTTCATTTGTATCTCAGAAGGCAAATACTAAAAATACATTTTATTGTGAAATTGTTCCGTGTGATAACAGATGCACATACATTATTTCATATGCACCAAGCGTACATGTACATCTTATTTAATCATATTTTTTATTTAAGTGCGTACGTGCTTGCATGAAGTATAACACAAGATACATGTAGTTTCAAGAGCATTGAAAATGAAACACATTGGGCAATACAAAAGTATTGTTTAAGACAGTCTTCTGTCACTGATGACAATGTTGAGTCTACATGCTCGTGATACCCCAACTTTCCACTGTCTCTTTGCCTGTAACGTACATTTGCGTTCACAAGCCTACCGCAATAAAGTACGAATGGGGTAGCACGAAAAGATGATTACCTAACTCTTACAGGTACCTTTATCATAATTATTGACTCATTGTAACATTTTTACTTGTACAACAATCAGAGACGGTTTGGGGATTTGCGTTTCTATGGCGCTCCTCATAAGACAGAAGCTTTGTGAGTATACCTGCAAGTTGGCAAATTTATGAAAAAAGGAAATTTGAACTCAAAACTGAATTTGAAATGAGACAAAATCAAAACAACAATAACAGCCACACAATGAAAAAGGCATGAGGCCAATAGTTCTTAATAATACATTGCTAAACAACCAATTCTTAAGAGACTGAGCACTGTTATAAAAGAAGCCACTTATGAATTCTTCCAACGGGAGCGCGACTAAGCAAATTAAGCTGTTAGGAGTTTTGCCAGAGGACAGCCATCAGGGAAAATGACGGTTCCACCGACGAGGAAGCCCAAATTACTTCCGCTTATGCCCGAAGTGGAACCCTGTTGGGTAAACAAAAGACATTCCTTTCCTCAAAGAAAACACACATGGTCTGTATAGCCACCGAATAAGTGCAAGACGTGTTGCACAACGACCATGTACAATTGTTACTGGGATTCAGTACCCATGGAAAGGAGCAGAACTTGATGGAAGGAAAATTGGATGACATCTAGAACAAATGATAATATTTATGATTGAATAGTGTTTTAGAACGAATTTGGCTAAAGACGACTGCTGAGATAATGAGCCTTTCTTGAGGTGTTTGATAATCAAGGCCTAAATTTGAAAAAAAAATGTCCAGTGGATACTGCACTGTTTGAGAGAGAGAGAGAGAGAGAGAGAGAGGAGAGAGTGTGTGCATAAGATGAGAACATCAACTTTAAGTCTTAAATCCGTACAAAAAATTTAAATATTGAACAAAAGGGAATATAGGGGTTAAAGACAATGTTA